AATGGGAGGCTGAAGTAGTTAGGTGTGAGATTCGCCCATCAATAACGAATATGCGTTTGCCTGTACCCTTAGTCCCTTACTTATCGCAACACTTCGACCCATAGGCCCAAAGCATAGACCAGCCCATATAATTCATGAAAACAAATGTTCCAAATCATGAAATCAATGTTACACAAAGTCACAAACACAGTCAGTTTGTATTCATTGCCAAGTACATATACCACCAATGTTTTAAAAATCTTTAAACCAATATTAATAAAACAATAATAATAATTAAATAATATTAGAGAAACATAATACCTTGACTTTATCATATTAAAAGTTAAAAATATAATTCTATTCATTCTTAATATTTAAAGTATATTATAATAATTAAGTTTAAGATTCAATAATACACATCAATATTTTTTAATAATAATAACAATTTTATATTATTTAGAATAGAAAAAAAAATAGACAAATGCTTTAATTTAATTAAAAATAAATAAAAATCAAATAATGTTGTATTGAGAATTTTTCGTTGACCCGCTGACCATTGTGAATAAGTTTTTACTAGTTTTTTCAATTTGATCAATTTTATTTGGTTCTTAGACCGATTTTTCTCCATGTAAATTTTGTGGTTTATTTCAATTGATCCGTTGATCCATTTTCAATCCGATTTTCAAAACACAAAGGAACTTTTTAACAATTATATTTCTTCTTTTTTGTTTTAGAAAAATAAAAATAACCGTTATATGGGCTAAAATCATCACTATGGATGATAAAACGTTCATACAGCGGAGATTTGCAAGGGTTACCCTAGAAAGAGTGGAGAATTGGCATTTATTTTGGAGACAAGGATCACAAACTTGTAAAGTGTCATTCTAAGTTCTTTTCCTTGCTCCTGAGCCAACTTGTGAATTTTGTCTTAATTAACTTGTGATACACTAGAGTTAAAATTTTTAATGAGTCAAGTTAGTTAAGTTTATTTATAAAAAAAAAAACAATTTGTTAAAAATACATTTATTTATATATTTATATACTTTCGTACTAGTATTTTAAAGTTTTATTTTAAATTAATTTGATTCAATTGATAAATAAGTAAAAGTATTTATTTATCTTACACTTGTATTTTAATTAAAAAATTATATTAGCTACTTAATTTTTGTGAGTTATATATTTAAAGATATCTAATGAAATGAATAAGAGTTAATCACTTATACATTGTCAGTGTAAAAAAATTTTACATTGACAACCAATCATATTTTTCAATAATTTCATGTTAGTTATTTATTTAGTAAAATAAAATAAAATAATTTAAAAATTTTAATTAATTGTCAATATAAATTTTTTTACATGAATAATGTATGAATGATTAATTCAATGAATAATCGTATAAAAAAAAGAAGTGAGTTTTTAGACAATTAAATGATTTGATATCAACTTGATGAATGAATACATCTGATCCACTTTGACATGACGAGTAAATAGTAAAGTCAATAAATAACGTATGGTCGGTCACCCACGAGCCATATATACAAGCTGCACAATTCTCTCTCTTCTCTATATGAAGAGTTACAAAAGTCCCATTTAGGAAACAAGAGGTTTTGGTTGAGCAATTACTATTAAAATATAAATTCTCTTGTACGTGATTTGTAATTAAATTGTATATTAATTCTTTTATGTTATAAATATTTACAAATAAAGACTTCTATATATTTATCTTCAAATTTATAAAATGACTTTATTGACACCATGTGACACAAAACAAATACAAATTTAATTAATTGCACATTTAAATACGTATTTAATGATTGTTGATTCACATTTGAATATCTAGGTAATTTGTTGGCTCGGAGAGTTTAACACCAAAAAACGCTTTAATAGATAATGAATGAATTTGATATTACATCATAATCTAAAAATCTTAATTATGTCAATAGTTTAGTGAATATTTCTCACTTATATATTATTCAACATATTACACTCTACACAATGTGAGATTTACTTCATACTTACTTTAACATTCCTCCTAAAATGTGTGTCTCTTCTATATGGTTACACTTTATTCTTAAGTGAAAGCTTTTTTTTTTCATCTACGAATATTTAATGGTTGCCTACTTACACTATCATTGCATATCAACGGGACACATCCATCACATCTCTTAGGTGACTTTTCAATATAAGGATGATTTCATTATTTTTGGATCTTACATCAATCCACTCTTGACGTCCACAACCAGTTCCATTGCTTAATACTCATTTGAGCTAATTAATAGTCATTGATTCTAATATATAATTGTTAGGTATTCGAGGTTCACACATACATGTTTCCACATTAATGAGTTCAATATGAAACCAACATGCCTACTTACATTAAGTTGGTCGGTCATTTTTACTTATATATTACTTAACATGTCAAATTTTAACTAATATATAACTCACTTCACACTTGAACTCTAACATAATTATTTATATTTTAAAATGGGTGGATCAAAAAGAGATGTCTCACTTTTTAAATACTTAGGTATTGTATTTATAGCATATAAAAGTAACATATTTTTCAAGAGAAAGAAGTTATTTTAATAATAAAAAAATATATGTTTATATAAATTTAATGGTCGTCGTATAAAAAAATTTACAAATAAAAACCATAATTAATATGACCTCTAAGGTAAATTTGTAAAAAATAACAAATTTGACATAAATGATAGATTGTAATTGAATAAATGTAAAACTGTTTTACAGTATTGATGCATCACATTTTTTCTCTGTTTATTATTGTGTAAAAAATATTAAATTACACTTATTTTTTCAAATGAAGGAAGTATTATTCATATTTTTTTCCTGACCTAATAATTCACCTATAAAACAACTGTAAGGTGATGGGTGAAGTTATTTCATGTTCATTTTTTGTTTCTAGTGTGAATGAATATCTTGCTAGAATGTTATGGATTTTTAATTTGGCTGAATTTACACATCCTCCGGGGTCTACCATACAATGAAAGTGTACCTAAAAGTGTTTATGGTTTGATAGTTAATGCAGAATGAATATCAAAACGGGGGTCAAATTAAGACTAGCGATTGTGAAACCTAAAATGGATGGGGCGTCTCGCATATGATACTTAATTTGTTCATTGATTGTAACTTGGCACTAGTAAATGGCATGGTTTCTTCATCGCTATTTCAACTACTTCAAATCTCACACTGCAGCACATGCCTCCACTTTTCCTCTTCTCTGCTACCCTTCAGACCTGCAACCCTGAGGCTGAGGGTCCCCATTTTCCTCTTCTTCACATGTGAACTCAGGGAATATCTATAATTCATCTCCATGCTAGCTACTGAAATTTATGTTACAAAGTTTTCCAGAAAAATAACGACCGTATAAATTAATTATATAAAATTTTAATACATGTGTTTTTAACTACTGGAACACGCATAAAATTTAGGTATATTTTTTATGGGTAGGGTTGGCAGCACACAGGACCATGCATGATGCAGTGTACATTGTAGAGTACAGTACAATACAATTGAGCAATGGAAGACAGGCCCCATTAAGCACAAGGTAGGTAGGTCTGCACTCTGCACCCTAAAATAAAGGAGGAACTGAACGCTCTCTACATGCTTATTCAATTCAATAATCTACTTCTAACTAACAACTAAATAATACAATATTTATTAAATGATAAAGTCACACACTAACGTTTTTTTTTTCTTCTTCTTTTTACATAATTACTAAGCTCACTGCCCATATATAGTTCAAATTAATTTTGGATTTTTTTTATCCTAAAAAACTAATCAAAAAATTTCAAATTAATTTGAATTAAATTAAGTACACAATATGTTAAGTATTAAAGAAGAAAAATATTCAAGAGAAGGTGTTAATAACATAATAATTAGCATAGTAGTTAATCATTTTGTACTCTTATGTTGTACAAACCATTTATTTAACAAAATGTTTCATGTTTAATTTTTGTCATGTACAAAAACTCTTCATATCGATGATAATTACAATATAATAAGTGAAATTAGTTTTTAATACGATGGATCAAAGAATATTCATAGAGAAATGTGCAGATAGTCCTGATTATTTGGCATTTTCAAATAACTTGTCTAAAATGTTAATCATATAGCATTACTTTAGTTAATGGGTCAAATAAAAAAATACCAATATATGTTATATTTTTAAAATAAAAAATGAAGGTCCCATTCAGTATATAGTGTACTGCCCAAATTTAAGCAGTTGCAAATAAAGGCCACAACGATGGAACCAAAATGATTTCGAAGACTGGTAACCTGGTTATTTATTGAGACAGCCCTATCACAAATCAGCTTCAGAGTCCCTCGGCCAACAGATCCCAAAAAATTGAGGACCATAGTTTTCTCTCTCTCTTCAAATATGCTTTGGTTTTTCTTAAAAAAAATCCCGAAAAGAGTTATTTCAAAATATTTAAAATATACACTCTTAATATGTTAAAATATACTTAAATATATTTTTATATATTTTAAACATGAAATAAATTTATTTTTAATCTTTCAAATTTAAAATTAATTTTTTAATTCATATAATTTTCAAAAATTTTATTTTAGTCTTTATATTTCTATTTTGTTTTAAGTGATGTTTTAACAAATTTTTTTTTAGATCACTAAAAGGAAAAAATGACGTTATTTATAAGTATTATATGTTGTATTCAATTACTTTATTTTATATTTTTATAAGTTAATTGCATTAATTTTAAAAAGGTTTTTAAAAAAAGTTACTTTAAATTTTTAATTTTTAATTTAAAAATAAATTTATATATTTTATTCTTTTATTTTCATTATAAAGTTATTTTAATTATATTTATTAATATTTTTAATTTAATGGATTAGTTTATAAGATAGTGAGTTGTACTATAATAACTTATAAGTTTGGTTGTAGTTTTGTTAAATAGTTAAATGTAAATAATTTGATTTTATTGATATTGGTATAAGAAATGATCTAAAGATATTTGGCCCTATATATTTAGAAAAACATGTGTGAGTAGTGAGTTGTGTGACATGAGTAACCTGCAATGAAGGAAAGTGAGAAAAGAGAGAGAGAAGCCCTCCGTCTCTCCCGAGTCCCAACCATGGAAGTGTTTAGCCTCCTCAAATACTGGAAGGCACCTACTCCCCAGAACGACGCCGACGACGGCCCTTTCTTCGACTTAGAGTTCGCGCTACAACACGACGCTAATCAGACTCAATACTACAACTCACTCGCAGCATTCGA